CAGTCAAAGGCTTCTCAGGAACAGCATGAGGATCTCTGGGGCCTGGACACAGGCGCAGGGAGCAGAATAGTAAGGGCTGGCACTGCTCAGACCCATAAAGCAGTGGCTGAAACAGCTGCAGCTGGACTCAAGTCTTGGTGCTGCAACAGAGCTTCTACCAGGAGGGAACTAGTGGGGTGCAGGCAAGGGCTGCCAGTCATGAGTGAGGGGCACTGGCGGGGCTGTGGGTTGGGAGTGAGGGAAAAGGGCAGGGGCAGGGCACTGGCATATCAGTGCTGTTCAGCACCCCACATCCTGATGAGCAAAGGGGGTGGGGGCAGCTCTGATTTTCTATGACAATAAAACCAACAGCATACGCCAAAGTGTGTAGATATTAGAATCCATTTTATTATGATGATAGAGGCACTGGTAGGCTTCCAAATTGCTTTAAACTTGTAACTATATCAATAACACCTTGCCTAACTGCTCTCTCTATACATAGTGGTGTTTCATTTTAATAGTGGAAGAACATGGATTTTGGGATATTTTAATGAAAGAATTTGTGGGTTTTTTTATCAGGGAATTTGCAATTTTTAAACAGGGAACACCAGGATCTGTGCTAGTGAGGCAAGTGGTGGGACCCGGGCAGAGGAGCCTGTCCAGGGCCAGCACTGGGGACCCAGCTGGAGGGCAGACAAGGTGGCTGACATCCTAGCTATTTGGGGCCAGGAGGACACCTGTCGACACTTTGAAGCAGGCCACAAGGAGCACATCTTCTGGGTGATAGCTGCCCAGATGGCAGAGCAGGGACACCAGAAGGCATGACAGCAGTGCCCCCCCAGAGGCCAACTGTGCAGCCATGGCCCACTGACAGCTGGTTCAGAGGTGCAGGCAGCAGTGCTGCAGTGCCCATACCAGAGCCCAGGTGGCCGTGCAGTCCCCGACTTGGTCTGGCAGGTGTGAAGCCATGGGGCTGCAGGTCCAAGGGGGTGGATGCTGTCGCAGGTGACAGCAGGTCACAGCCAGGCAGCAGCCCCCACTGCCAGACTGCTGCAGTGGGTAGAGGGTGCAGGGGCCACTCTAGGTTAGGGCTGCTTAAGCATTCCTAAGGGGTAGTGTCCCCAAATACCAAGTGGCTGGGTCTCATAAGCTCCTGAGGGCAGGTAGCCCTGAGCTGCTCACCTGGGCAGCTTTTTATACTGCTGGGGCCAGCACAGGTGCTGGCTGTAGCCTCTGGTTGAAGATCTGGGAGGAGCTGGGCAGGGTCATTTTGCCCCAAGTGGCACAATTTGCCCCACACCAAAGTGTATATTCAGGCACGTGTGCTGAGGTACAAATCTCTGGCACAAATTTGTGCCTCTGCATTTGAGCTGCTGCAAGAATACATGCCTGCATGTGTGGACGTGCCTGTAGAACCACAGATGGAAGGGCAAAAGGAAATCCTTAGGTCTAAGCAGGTATTTGGATGTAAAGAGGAAGTGAAGAAGTGGGGTAAAAGACAGAAGAGAGATTAAAGGGCATCTTGTATGGGGAAAAGAGATGGAGGGCACATGTTTCCTGAGGAATAATGTAAGATTTGCCCTGGAAAAGGTCAGAGCTTCTCCAGGGAGGCCACTCTCACAGTTTGGCAAACACTGCTGTGGTGGTTACTCACGGGTAAGTGACACATTCCTTTTGTGCTGCTCAGTCACCATACCCCACCCCCCCAACTTGAAGAGAGAAGAAATTTGTGGGGAACTCATAACCAAAGTTATTTTGTTAGTGCAAATGTGAATGCTTCATGATTAATGGGCCAGATTCTTCTACCTCCACCGGTAGTGAATGCCACTCAGTAGGCCTGCTGAATTCAATGGGACTTGTTGCATGAACAAGTGCTATTCGGTATGCGTCATAGTTGCAGAATCTGGCTTTGCATAATTTGCATTACAATTGTTGTGTTTTATAGAACTCAGTCATGAATCCACTTCTGAACAACTTGCATGAAAACTTGGCTCGCCTTTGTCAGAACAGATTTAATTAGTTGCTTATCCCTGTTGGAGCAATGAAGGGAAACAGATCAAGCCAGCAGAACGTTACTGTGCATGGGCATAAACATCAAGAAACAGCTTCGCACAATTGCTCTTAGCAGAAAGTGATGCAGCTTGTAATCAATGTTTCATGCTGCTTTTTTTCAATCAGTCCAAGTCCATGAGTCTTGTCAATTCAAGCAAATATAGAAAAAATTCCCATGGATGGACTAACCTACAGCTGTGTTGGGTTCTGGTGCTGCCAGTGTTCCCAGCTGTTGCATTATCATTATTTATTCCAGCATAACCTGTAACAATAATATACCTATAATATGCAATAACAACAAAACACTTCACACTAGGCCCTGGTTCAGTCAAGCACTGAAGCATCTGCTTCATCTAAGCCATTTAAAAATTAAGAAATCATATGGGCATGTATACGTACAAGTGCCTTACAGAATTAGGCCTCTCAAGATTATATGAAGGAGGATTTCTGCAGTAGCTAGAAGATAGTGAGCTCATTGCATCACTGCCTTGCACAAATTAGATATGACCACTAAATTAGAACAGTAGTTCCATTCACTTTCTCTGCATGGATACAAGTGACTGTAACAGGGACAAAGTAATAGAGAATTGGACCATATCTTGTCTTTAAGGCCTGATAGTAGATATCTTCCTATGATTTCAGAAGGGCCAAATTCATGCCTTAGTGTAAATAGCCGCAATTCCAATTAACTCAGTAGAATTGCAATCACTTGCCCTAGTTCTGAATATTGGCTTCTGCAGCTGAAAATATATATAGGAGAAACTGGAGGGATTTGTTCTTCTCATCTGTATGCAAATGTGTATTTATGATGAAGTTTGTGCCTGGTCATGAAACACACAATGTTTTTAAAATGAATGTGAGTGGTGATAATTATGACTTTACAGACAAAGAATAAATCTCTGTACAGCCTCTGAGAAGCTAAAGCCTGGCCCGAATTCATCAGGTACCTCCTAGGAACCAGAATAATTTTTTTTTTAAATGCAGAGTATTTATTATGAGTGGCTGCATATCTGCACTTTGGCTGGCTTCCCTGCAGTATGGAGTGACCACATTACTATTTGCAACACAAGCTTTGATCAGGTGGCACTAAAAAGAAAAGAGGTGGGGCAAGCAGAGCTTTAAAAAGGAAAGGAGTGTGGTTTCAAGTTTGTATATAAACACCAACTATGTTTGGGGAAGGATGGTGCCTATAGATATCACTCATGCTCCTTCCAGGACCGTGGCAACAAATTATATAGATTTTCTGCTTTTAAGATTTAGCCAGCAGCTTGTTGCAAGGGAATTTGCAGTGATCCTTGTGAGTTTTCCTTTTAAACAGTGTTAAATTTGTGGCAAGGGTGTCAGGCATTTCATACTTGGCTTCCAGAAAAAGAGAGAGAGCGAGCACGAGCAAGTGAGTGAGCAAGAATGATGTGCGTGGGGAAGAAATCTTGCTGGAATTTCTTCAGAGGTTGTAGTTGGACATGGTAAGGACAAATGTGACAAGAAAAGCAAGGCAGCAAGAGAAAACTGGTATTGTGAAAAGATGTCCCAGTGTAAGAAACAAGCTGTTGTAGAAACGCTCTGGGATTACACATGTTCTTCTCATCCTGGATATGACTGAATACAAGCAAGTTGCTCTTGATTGACAGTTCACAAATCTCAAGATTATGTTTCTCTTACTTGCTGCTTTTTTGTCAGTGGTTTTTAAAATTGGTTTTGTTAACCTCTCAGCTCTACAGCACTGGAACTGTCCTAGGGGATACCGATTAGGAAGTGAAAACTCCACTTGTATAGGTAAGTAAGCAACTTTAATGTCACAATATTCAAGTGTTAAGAAAGCTGTATAGGCTTTTAACTTAGGTAAGAGTTTTAGCCTCTTAATTTTGTGTTTACTTATGCCTTTTACATAGTATATATATACATTAATATGTTTGCATCGATACATCAGCTTTTATTTAGCTGTTGCCTCACATGACCATCAGGACTTTGCTAGTACTTTTATATTATAGCAAAAGCAGCCACTTGACAATTCACCTATCTGAAAGTAAAAAGAAAGAAAAAGATGAATATGATTAATCAAGAGATACAGATTATTCTCTGGGTATTGATGTTCATATATATGGGTATCTGTAACATGTATGTGTGTATAAACCCCCACACGTGCGTGCACACACACACACATTTGTGTCTATATATATACACACACTACACATATATATGTATAGTGTACATGCACACACACACGCATATATATATATATATAAATAGTGTGTCCATGTATTCATTTATATACATGCATATTTACAGAAAGCTTTTTTTAATGGCAGCAAGCTATGTAATAGAAATGTATTGCTTCTCATGCTGCCAGGACCTATTTGATATCATATTATGCTAAAAATATATTGGTAAAATGCATTAAACTAATATTATTGTGGCAAGCTCTTAGTGATTTGGTTTTCTAGCTTTTGCCTCGCACAGCCAACAGGACTTTGCTAATACATTTGCAAATAAAGATTTATAACTCTGTAAGAAGAAAAGTGAAACAAGGCCTTTCTCTTGACATCCTGAAATTTGAAATTTTGAAAAGGCAGAGCCAGTGATGTAGTGTACTATACAGAAAGGCAGTGAGGAAATGCTCTGGATGTCTTTAAGTGAGGACCCCTAATATTAGAGGCAAGAACTTTGCTAGTGCTTCAGAAGTTCTGACTCAAGTTTTGACAGGATTCCAGTAATTTAATAACAGGTGCATCTTGGTGAGTTTTGCCAAGAAATAGCAAGTTGTAAACAGAAAAAGAAGTATGCATGTTAAATACCTTACTATTAAAAGAAAAGGAACAAGGCATTTCAGTCTGCGAGCAAGAAACTTAACTGAGAGCCTTCCAGAGAATGTTTTGGAGAATGAAAATTTGGGAGATCCTTGACGATTATGACTTCCAAGTATGTTGTAAAGGCTCAGTTGTGTCCTCACTTACACTAGGATGACTTCACTGATGCAAATTGGCTTGCTTAGGTGTAATTTAGAATAGAGTTTGGCTTTTGAAGGATCAGTGGAATTGATGGTTATCACCTTCATATTCAAATGATGGATGCCCAGAAAACTGAGATATGCATTCCAATGGTCTCTCTCCTGATCCTTCCCATAGAGAATGAGAGAGACTCCACTGCATTTTTATACTACGCTTGGGAGAAGATTTTTTAAAAATCACCTAAAACCAAGAAATAGAGTGGCCACTATGCCACTAGGAATTGAGGAAAAATTACTAGAATCTGTATTTATATGGTCTTTCAAGGCAACCTAGTAGGCATTGGGGATTTTGTGCAGTAACAATATGAACTCATAGATAATGTGGGCATGTGTCTTATAGCATGGAAAATGAAATGTGCTGAAAACTCCCCTCAGTTATGGGATGCAGTGTAGTGTAGAGCAGAATTTGGCCCAGTGTATAAAAGTGAAGAGTCCTTCTGTGGAATGAGTTTTATAATTTATAAGAAAATCTTACAAAGTCCTTTCTTTACTTGACTCTGTACTAAGATTTCTCTTATGAGAATAGAACTGCTAATAGTTGATATGAGTCCCAAAATAAGTACACAAACGTGTTCAGCATATAAGGGTGCGGTTGAAACATGCCAGGAAGCTGAGGGCAGATACTGAAGGAAACTGAGGGCTTAAATGTGGAGAGTGGGTGACATGACTCATATAGAAAACTTTGTGTAATGAAAATCACCCACTGAAGCTCAGTAGATATCTTTGGTGTTTGTAGGTCATAGCAAATATACCAATTAATAATAAGTGTTCCCACCATAGTTTGTTTTCCTGTTACTTCATCAGGGCCATACTAGCTGTAATGGTCTTCCCGAAACTGAGAAGACAACTGCCTATGATAACAACAGAAAGGGTCCTTCAAGGAACATTTACCAGAAAGCATATGGACTTTTCTAGATTTGTTTCTAACATTATTACTAATTAAAGACCAGAACACGATCTACTTAATTATGCCAAATAATACTTTGCTCCTAATTCTTCTTGTTCCACTGATTTCAAGGGATATTCAAAGATCAAAGCCTTATCCTTAGGGACCTAATTAAATCATGGAAACTGTGAAAAACAACATTGTCCACGATCGCTGGGAAATCCAGCATTGGCTGTTATTTCCCATGTAATCAATCAACAAAAAAAAGCAGTAGCGATAAAGATTGAGTGCAGGGGACCAATCAGTGATGAGGGGCAGGGCTGCCAGGGCCCCTGCACCAATCAGTGGTGAGGAGCAGGGCCACTGTGAAATGCCCGGCAAATCATCAATGTCTGCTGCGAGCAGGCCACAAAAAATCCTTTATCTTACTACAACTTAGGTAGGTCCCTACTTATCATGAGAAAGGGGAACATAACTGGGCACTAGATGTTTTAAATTTTGTTGTGATAATGAAAGCCATCTTATTTAAATCCTGATTAGAGGGCAAAGCAAACCAAAACAAAAAAGGACTACTCTTTCTTACTGAGGAAGAAACTAAACTAAACAGATTAGTTAGTCTCCCTGTCTCCCGCTGCCGGGCTGTGCTCCGAGTGGCTCTGGAGCCCCATGGAGCACAGCCCGGCAGTGGGAGGTGGGCAGAGCCAGGGCTGCACTCCGGTCGGCTCCTCCAGCCCCACGGAGCTCAGCCTGGCGGCAGGAGGTGGACAGAGCCAGGGTTGTGCTCCACCTCCCACCACTGGGCTGAGCACCATGGGGTTGCAGAGCTGCTTGTAGCGCAGCCCTGGCTCTCCCCTGCCTCCCACCACTGGGCCAGATGACAGGAGGGTGCCACTGCTGCCTGGGGCCAGGAGCAAGATCAGTCTTCCCCAGTGCTGGGCGTGGGCTGTGCCCAGTGCCAGTCCCAGGCAGCAGCAGCAGCCTCTTGTCATCTGGTGGAGATTCGCATCCCTCCTGGGGGTGCAGGCCCCTGGATTTGTGCCCCGGATGACGGGAGGCTGCTGCCACCAGCAAGTGTCATGAGTTTTTCTTTTTG